CCCGCAGCTCACGTGGCAGGTACAAGTAATGCAGGCGTTGCCGGGGTGGCGCCAGCTCGCTCCATCCGCTACTCTCCGGCCCTCGGCCTCCACCACACATTCTGATGGGAAGAGATGAGGCTGGGAGAGCATCTTCCTTCCAGCTGCATCCCACCTCCCTGGAGGTCACCCTGAAGGCCCACAGCAGCAGGTGCCCTCCTCATTCAATTAGCACCCTGATGATGTTAATTTCTTCAACCAGCATATAGATGGCCTACTGGATGGCAGGGCTTGAGACTCTAAAGGGCTCTGGAAGCCCGAAGAGCCAGAGGCTGGAACCTTCCTCTGGCCTGCTGCCAGCTCAGCAGTCCCCGTTAATCCCAGCTGACAAGCCTCAGCCAGGCCCTGAAAATCCAGGCTTCATTCCCTGCCTCCCTCTGCCTCGTGGATCTCTCCTCTTCCCCAATGAATAGCCCTCCATTTCTACAAAAGAACAAAGCCTGCATTTAGAGTGCAGACCCTGGACTGCCTACTTGGCCCATGGATGCCACCCTTCTTGTCTCCTTCCTGGGCTCATGCTCTGAGGGTCCAGGCCAAGGCTGGGCACTTACCCTGACACACAGGGCAGCAGCTTCCAGGAAGGGAATGGCGCTCTGATGGGGGACAGCTGAGCTCAGGACAGGCACGGTGAATGCAGAGCCAGGTCAGGTCCTGGGGAAGGGCATGTGAACACCATAGGTAGAGAACAGAAGGGAGGGTACAGAGCCTCGGCAGAATGTGACATTCAGGACAAGCAGGCAAATGTCAGAGTGAGTGGGAAGCCCAGACCTGCTGCAGGAGTGGAGTCAGCCACAGACCACAGAGGAGGAAGAAGAGGGGACTTCGGGAGTCCCCAAGGCAGGAGGGCTCACCTGGCACTGGCAGGAGTAGCAGGGGTCTGGCGGGGCCAGCTCAGACCCCAGCAGGTCCTCCGTGCAGTTACTCAGGGCCTCTGTGGAGGCGAGAATGCAATGTGGCGGGGAGAAGGGCAGAGCAGGGCATGAAAGCCCGGTCGATCCCACTGACCCGCTCGACCCCCAGACTTCTTGGGCCCAGGGCAAACCCGTGTCCTCAGCACCTTGACTCTAGGAAGGATAAATCCCTTTTCCCTTTGGTTCAGCAAAGAAAAGTTTAGACTTTTGAAAAGGAACTTTGCTAGGCTACTAGGGTGGGGGCCTGCAAACTGACAACGTGTGGCTCCCTCAGCCTGAGGTCTCTAAGCACCAGCCGGCTACCCAACCTGCCCCAAATTCCCACTTCCTTCATATTGCCTGGCTAAAAGAGCACAGGAAAGCACAAAGAGCCAGGGACCCAGGTTACAATCCTAGCCAGCACTCAGCGACTCTGCCATTTTAGACAGGTCGACAAACCGCTCTGAACCTGTTTCTCCATCTGTAAAAATAATAATAGTAATACCTATCTCACTGGACAATGGTGAGAATTAAATGAGTTACTGTTTATTAAAAAACCAAGTGTGGGTCTATGGCCATGCCACCCTGAACAAGCCCGATCCTGTCTGATCTCGGAAGCTAAGCAGGGTCGGACCTGGTTAGTACTTGGATGGGAGACCACCTAGGAAGACCAGGTGCTGTAGGCATAAAAAATAAAAAATAAGGGATTGTAAGCTGACAAGGTCCTTGCAATCTGTGAGGTCAACCAAGGGTTGCCTCGCCTAAAAAAAAAAAAAAGAAAGAAAAAGAAAGTACCAAGTATGGTGCATGGTGCATGGCATGCAGTAGGAGCTTAACCAATATTAGTCCCCTTCTCTTTCCTCGAAGCACATCCTAGCAGCCTTGATAAGAATAGCTAGCTCCCCACCCTCCACCTCTGTAGCTGGGCCACTCACTGCCCCTCTGGTCTTGACATCACTGCTCTCAAGAAGCCAGCAGCTGCACAACTGCTACCCGGAAGCACCACCTGCTGGGCAAGATGCTCCACAAACTGCTCCCAGCTTCAGAGTCAAAGGGTCCCGCCAGCTTCCCCAGTTCCCCTTGTGGCGGTGCAAGGCTCATCCGCCGGGGCAAGGACTTCCAGAACAGTCCCCTGGACTCAGAAAAGGGCTGGGGCTGGGACTGCGGAGCAGAGCTGCCATCTGGGGATGGTGGCCCTGCCCTCCTTATCCCCACATCCAGGGACTCACGGGCACAGGTGGGGCAGCAGTGCTGAGGCCCAGCGGGCAGGAGCTGGCTGGCAGGGCAGCCCACCAGGCTGGGACACTGCCTCCGGTGACAGCGAAGGCTGGGAGGCCCCACAGGCTGCAGCTACGACAGGAATGAGTGAGCAGGGGGTGAGTCCCAAGGCATGGAAGCCAAGAGCCACCTTCTTCCCCTAGAGTCCATGCCCCTCCATCTGTCTGCTGCACCTCCTCTAGCATGTCAGACTCCCTATCGTGGCCCCCCAACATGTCCCAGGTATCTCCCCCTACCTCCTATACACACCCACCCCACGCTCAGCATCAGTGCCCACATCTAACTCCAGATTTCCCAGCCCTCCTGGCTCCTTACCCCAAGCCCTGCCTCACCTCCTGGCCACAGGGACACACTCCTGTTTCTGACCCCCATAGTGCCTGCTCCTCATGGTGCCCTGCCCCTCAGCAGGGCCCTCACCCACCTCACAGATGCACACTTCACAGGGGTCTGCCCCAGGCTGGAAGCTCTCCCCTGGCTCATACTTCCGGCCTTCATGCTCACAGTCTTGGGGGGTGGGGTAAGAGCAGAATAGGACCAGGGAGACTTCAGGCTGGCAGCAGTGCCGGCGGTGGGGTTCTCTGCCCCCCAGATGCCCCAGCCCCCAGGATTAGGGCGTGCAAAAATGGCTGAAACAGCCTGTCTCTGCCACCCAGCCCAGCGCCAAGGCAGGGAGGTGCCGACGGGTGCTGTCTCTGTGCCGTCCACGCCTACCCACTCCCCGTACCCGAGCATCGAGGGCAGCAGTCGCTGGGCCCCTGGTGGGGCTGGGCACAGGGGCTGACACACTGGACGCGGGCACAGGTGACGATGCCCTTGTGACACGTGCAGGAGGAGCAGGGGCTGTCGGGAGGCTCCCAGCTGCTGCCTTCAGGATGCTCCTCTCCATGAGCCAGGCAGCCTGTGTCCCAGGGGAGCAGAGATGAGCGCTGAGTCTGGGTTCTCTATGTCAGCCCCTGACTGCCCACCCTGGGTCGTCAGCAGGGCACGTGGGCCTGGCAGGGGAGGGGACGCTGCAGGGATGAGGTGGTAAGGTGGCCTGGGGCAGATATTCTGTCTGCGATGGAGGGGGAAGATTCTGGGTTGGGGTCAGAACGCCTGGGCTCTAATCCCGCCCACGTCTGCTTGCTTGCTAGACCAAATGCCAGGCAGCAGGCAGTGTCCACTGTAGCCCAGCACCAGCAACAGTACCTGGCACACAGCAGGCATCTAATAAACACATGTGCAATGAATGAAAGGCTCCATCACTGACCATATACCCAAGGTAACTCCATCTCTCCAAACCTCAGTCTCCTCAAGGGCTGAGGGTATGAATGAAAGGCTCCATCACTGACCATATACCCAAACCTCAGTCTCCTCAAGGGCTGAGGGATGGGAGGGCTAGATGGGTGGACAGGGAGGTAAGGCAGATGGAGGGGCCAAAGTGAGGTGACAGCCCCACTGGCCAGGCATACCTCTGCAGCGGGGGCAGCAGCTCCCCTGCTCTGTGACCTGGAGTGGGCAGGGCAGGAGGGGGCAGTGCGGCCGCACACAGCTGACCTGGCCGGCCTGCAAGAGATGCAGACTCAGCGACTTGCTCCTTAGGTCCAGACCCCACACGAGCCCCCTCTGTCATCTCCCTACCATACCTGACAGCGACACCTCTCACAGCTGCCTGTGGGCCCCTCAAACTCCTCCCCATCCTGGTGCTCCAGGCCCTGAGAGAAGCAGCCTGTGGGTGACATGCTTCCTGAGTGGAGGTGCTGTGCCACCTTGCCCTGTCCAACCTCAGGCCCAGCAGAAAGGGAGAAAGGAGGGGCAGGGAAGGGCATGAGGGGCTGGTGCATGTGGAAAGCAGCTCACTGTGGCATACAGGGCAGAAGCAGGGTCCTGGAGAGGGGTGGGGGCAGAGAGCTGGAGGACATGGCTTCTTCTGGCAGCTCATGGAACCTTCCTGGAGAGAGACCACATTGCTACTTCCTGACTCCCATGTCATCACACACTCAAACCAGGCTACACACTGCCCCAGGGCACCAGACACGAAACCCTCCTGGGCCTGCCAGGCCCCAATCCCCATCGCTTGGCCCAGGAGTCCTGAACTGAATCTAATCCTGCCCCGCTAGATGTCACTGGCAGAATGTACCCCAGGAGACCTGAGTGGAGAAAACAACCCCTGGACAGAGAGGAGGATCAGGGATGAAAGCTTATCAAGTTCCCAAAGGGCCACCTCACCTGGCAGGTGCAGAGGGAGCAGGTGGGGTCAAGTGGGTCAGGAAGGGTCTCTCCAGGGGCAGCAGTGACCCCATGATAGAGGCATCCTGGCAGAGCGGGGAATGGAAGGGAAGAGCTGCCATCGATGGAGCCCTCCACTGCCACACACACTACACACACACACTCACACTCACATGCTCACACACACAAACGCGATATACACATACACACATACACACGTGTACGCACACACAGCCAGGCCTGGGGACATCTACCAAAGCTTAGGGAGTCTGAAAGGGAGAGAAAAGTGGCTGGGAAAGTAAGGGGCGGGAGAAGGATGTCAGCCGAGCTGTAAGCAGCGAGGTTTGCACGTGTGAGGCAGTGGAGGACGGGAGGCGAGACACAGGCTGCTGAGAGTGTGCCGTCTGTGCGGGCCAGCGTGGGAAGACGGCGTGAGGGGTGGGCACACCTGGAGAGGAAGGTGAGAGATGGGCTGGGCTCCGGAGGGTGGGCTAAGCAAGCAGGAGAGAAGGAGACCGCCCCTTGGGGTGCGCCTGAGAGCGGTGGGAGCCGTGGAAGGGTTTCGAGTCGCGACGTGATATTTTAGGAAGCCAGTGAGACAATTTAAGAGCGGAAAGATCCGGAAGCACAGGGATCCGTTATTTGGTGAATATAACTGTCACTGAGAAGTGACAGCAGGGACAGAGAGGAGGGCATGGATATAGTGTGCAGCGTCTGATGAAAACACAGGGTGCGTTTGCCGTGTGGTTATCTCAGGGAGGGGTCAGGGTGGCCAGTCCAGGGGACTCCGAGCTGCTGGGAACCCAGAAGGAGCAGTGGAAGGACACGTGCTGTCCTACCTTGGCAGGTGGGGCAGCAGTGCCCAGACGGCGTGAGCGGGTGGCTGCAGCCCAGAGGCTCACAGGGCCGGCGGCTGCAGGTCACAAAGCCTCTGAGGCAGGTACACATGTTGCAGGGCTCTCGGGGATCCGGGAACTCCTGGCTGCTCAGGTATGACTCCCCCAGATACTCACAGCCTTGGAGAGAGGACAGAGAAAGGCAGGGGAGGGGGCAGAAAGGAGTGAGAGGGCAGCAATCATCAGCTCTGACCCTGCGCCAGGCCCGAGTCCAAGGCCTCGGAGACCTGGCTATGGCTGGGAGGGAGGGCTCGGTCCAGGCTGGTGGGCGAAACAGAGGGGGTGGGGGGGAGATGGCAAACTTCCTCCCCTTTGGCCTGCAGAGAAATCCCCCTGTCCAATCTATAGGGAAAACACACATGAAATCTGTCAAATACCCAGCAGGCCACTGCTGGGCCAGAAGGCACCAAGTTTCCCAGCCTGAGGAGAGCTGGGAATTGCTCGCGATGGCTTAGGTAGCCTGGACCCAAGACATCCCTTTCCCATGCTCTTTCGAGCCCTCTGATCAAAGAGGCGGAGAGGGTCCCAGGGTGGTGGCAGCCTGCCCTTAGCAGCTGACACTTGCCGACCTCCTTTTTGAAAAAGAGAGGGTGCTTTGGGTGACAATGATGGGTCAGCATGAGCTCATCAATTGTAACCAATGTGCCACACTGGGACATTGATAATGAGGGCCGCTGTGTCTGTGTGAGGGCAGGGAGTATGCAAGAAATCTCTGTACCTTCCTCTCAATGTTGCTGTGAACATAAAAATCCTCTTTAAAAAAGTTAATAGAAGGTGGGGGTGGGAAGGATGATGAGTCTCAGGCTCAAAGCCTTGGCAGGCAAAAGCATCTGACTCGAATTTAATATTTCATTTCTAATTGTATTTATTTCTATGGTAATATTCTAGTCCTGACAAATCTAATTTTTCCATTTGCAGTGTGATATAAAGACTTCTTTCTAAATAAATTTAAATTTAAAAGTGAATTAATTTGAAGAAAAATACTAAATAAAGTTACAGTTGGTAGAGGATATTTAGAAAAAATTACTAAGATAATACAAGAGGGAACGAAGACTGGAAGACTGGTCTTATTCAATCCTCTTTTTTTTTTTTCAGGAGTTAAAATTAGGTTACACTTTGAAAATTGTTAAGGTAGCAAATTTTATGTTATGTGCATTTTACGAAAATTCACATTTATAAAATGTATTTTTTAAAACATTGAGAAAATTAGGCCCAGAGAGGTGATATGACTTGTCCAAAATCGCACACCCAAACAGCATCACAGGCAGGAGAAAATCCAGGCTTTAATCCAGTGCTTTTTTTTTCTTACTGTAATAAGTATTTTGTATCCACTCTAGGGCAGTAAGAGGGACCCAGCCCTTCCGTTCCCCCCCACCCCCCCACACACCCCCAGTCCCCTGCCTCTCACCATCACAGGCAGGGCAGCAGTCACCCCTAGCGGGGAAGGGGCACTGCGCAGGGGCACAGGCCCTGGGCTCGCAGCTGACGCTGCCCTCCCAGCACAGGCAGACGTGGCACCGGACGGTGACAGAAGGGAAGCGCTCCCCGCTGGCAACCTCTTTCCCCTGGTACAGGCAGCCTAGGCGGCAGGCGAGAGGGCAGCGGCTGTTGACCAAGCCCACGACCTCCCAGGCCCCGTGAAGTGGGCACTGTCTCCCCACATTCTCAGCGAGAACTCCGACGTGGGAGGGCAGGACCACGAGGAAGGGGACTGTCTGGGGCTGGAGAAAGGAGGACGCGGAGTCAGAGGATGCAAGGGGCTCTGCGGGCCTGAAGGGGGCGCCGCCGGGGCGTTACCGTCGCAGGAGGGGCAGCAGGGCCCCCGGCGCGGGTGGGCGCAGGGTGCGGGTGGGCAGGGCAGCCGCTGGCAGGACACGGAGCCGTCCAGGCAGAGGCAGCGGCGGCAGGGGTCGCCAGGCGGGGAGAAATGCTCCTGGTGGCGCGCGGGGACCAAGCCCCCCGGCAGCGGACAACCCGAGAGGGAGGCTGAGGTGAGAGAGCCTGTATCATGGGGAGACCAGGGAGAGCTTGCGGAGGGGGCCCCTCCGGGAGGAGCCGCCAAGGGGTGCAGCTCTTACCTGGGCACTGCGGACAGCACTCTCCTGGCAGCGAGACCGGCTCTGCACAGGGCAGCGGAGGACAGCGACGAGCCAGGCACTGCACGTTGCCGCTCTGCGTGGAGAGATGGGCCAGGCAGGCAGGGTTAGTGGTGGGAGCCAAGGAGACCCCCACCCCTTCCCACCCCACTGTGGTGGACCTACCCTGGCCTCCTCAAGTCCCTCCCGGACTCCCCTGGACTCCTCCTCCCATCCAAGTGGCAGACTCACCAGACAGTGACACAGGC